GAGTTCGAGACGCAAGGTGCTGGCAGGACGAGAAACAAGCTGGGGAAGTACGGTTTCAGCGATGTCATCGTCCCGTCTCTGAGGCACGCCGGCAGGCGGAGAAAGTCCAAAGTTCGGAGAAGCATGTCACCACGCCCCACTGGTTCCGGAACAAAGTTGAGGACCAAGGATAGGCTGATAATGTCAAAACGTTCGGTATCGTCTTTCGGTCGAGGCCGTTCCATGAAATCTTGCTGGAGGATGCCGTCGCCTTGGCTGTTGAGGTCGATGTGTTGAATATCGAAAAACCCGCTACGGGAACAAGCGTTTGTGGTACTAAGGGCTCCCACTTCAAGCATCCGTAGGCGATGAGACGGATTGCCCGTAATGGTGGCTTTCAACTCCGATTCAATGGGTTTGAGCCATTCCAAGAGGACTCTCGAGCTGTCTCCTCCGCGGTCGTTCCTCTGCCCCTGAAGACTGGCCTGCTGATACTTTTCAATTCCTCCAAGTGACTTGATTTCTGCTGCAATCTTCGTCTCGGCAGCTTTGTCACCATCTCGCTCCGCTTGCTTCTTTCTCTTTTCCAGGGTGTGGATCTGACTGATGAGGGATTGTGTGGCCTTCCTGGAGATGGTTTTCGGTTTCTGGATTACAGGCGGCCGCCCAGCGGTCAACTTGAGCTTAGATTTCTTCTTCTTGTTGACTCCCATGATCACTTTTGTTGATTGAATGGAAGAACTCAGAATCCGAGATTAGCATATGAGTTAAGAAGACGTTCAAGATTGCTGCTGAATGTGAGCGAGTCGCTTATGTGATTGGCTGAGACGGAATAACTTTGGACCTGTCTGGAAACAGACTAGCGCCAAAATTGGAAAACTGGCGGTGGGACCTCGAAACTCCTTGACCTAATTTTTTTCCCCCAGTGACTTTCTCTCTCGCGACCCGACAACCTCTTCGACAACCACGACACCTCGAATTCAACGACGCAAATTCCTCGCAGAGAATTCGAAATGGCTCCCTCCAAGACAGGTACAACTCCCTGAACACGATTCCTTCAACTTGAGATCGAACTCGATAAAAAATGAAGTTGCGCGCGCTTCCAACCTGAGGGTGGACGAGGTCGACCGTCTCGACCAAAAAATTCAATGGGCTAAATGATGAGACCGACCTCGACCACCCGCAAACCTCAGGCGACGATGCGATGCATTCCAGCAGCAGCAGATTTTGCGAGTTCTTTCATCGCAGAAAGGGCGATTGCTGATGCGTCATTCTTGTAATCAGGTACTTCCAAGGGCAAGGCCGGCTCCAAGCAGGCCAAGGCTGCTGCTAAGTCCGCGCTGAAGGGTGTAAGTAATTTTGAAATGATTTGTCTTCCCACATAAGCAGTATAAGATCTGCAAGGACCAAGTTCTGACCATGCTCTCCTCCTTCAGGTTCACTCCCACAAGAAGACCAAGGTCCGAACCTCGACCTCGTTCCGCCGCCCCAAGACCCTCACTCTTGCCCGGGACCCCAAGTACCTCCGCAAGGCCATCCAGCACCAGCCCCGCCTTGATGAGCACAAGATCATCATCCACCCTCTCAACACCGAGAGTGCCATGAAGAAGATCGAGGAGAACAACACCCTCGTCTTCATCGTCGATGTCAAGTCCAACAAGGCCCAAATCAAGGCTGCCCTGAAGAAGCTCTACGACATCGACACCGTCAAGATCAACACCCTGATCCGGTATGTACCTCTGTACACCAAGATGCAACAAAAGACAATCGAACCCAAGCTAACTTTAACATCTCTAGCCCTGACGGCTCCAAGAAGGCCTACGCCCGCCTCACCCCCGATGTTGACGCTCTCGACATTGCCGCCACCAAGCTGGCTCTCGTCTAAATGTTCTTCGGGATGGATGATGGGTATCTGGTGATGAACTAGGACGGTTATGGGATTCAAAAAAGGGACTGGTTTTCAGGCATTCTGCAGGCGTCAAGGAGGATTCTCAAGCCTACGGGCTCTATACCAATGGAATGAATTGACAAGTCCATGTCCTCCCACGTCAACTCGCATCTTTGACCATGTAAATTGTACGGTGTATGTCTCGCTTTGCCTCGTGATCCTGTCGTGTAACCCGGGAAAGCCAGTCGATTTTACCGCTTCCCTGGCCGACTTCATTTCCCCAAGGGAAAAGTTATCCCAGTCTTTGGCTTTTTTTTTTTCCTTAAAAAAGTGGTCGATATACTACATCGGCCGACTCAACAACCATGTTCTAACCCATACCCCATCTACCGACTCTGCAGATGCTTGACAGCCAGCGTGCTCACATCCATGAAGCGGTCGACGCAGTTGGCCAGACACGTCTGCTCGCCCTTGTCCAGCGAATTTCCCTTAATTGTTCCAGTCACGCACTTGTTCCAGCAGGTCTGAGTGAGGTCGTGTGTTCCTGTAATTTTTGTCAGCCTTGCAATACCCCAGCGGAGGGGAAGTCTGGGCTATTGGCGGCGCATACGCTGCTGAATGCGAGCCTTTTGCTGCTCGTTTGTAATGAATTGCTGGAGCTCCTGCTTGTCCTTGACGCTGAGCCGGTCGAGATCGGATTGGTCGAATGATGGAGCGTCCATTTTGTATGCGTATAGAGGGGAGGAAGGGAGGAAGTCGTGGAGGGCTAGAGACAAATGATCGAGTCGCAATGACTGAAGATGGGCGAGGCAATGTCAGTGACGCTAAGAATTCTTTCCCAGCTTGAATGCGCTAGCCAATGGGGAAGGATCCGACCCAAGATCCCTGCATGACTGCGGCCGCGAGAGCTTCAACATGAACCTTTCAACGTTTTTTGCAATGAATATCAAGGCAAAATTTGTAATATCTACTCAATGGCTGGGAAACCAATGTTCTTGTGAATTACTCAGGGTGATGTTACTTTTGTCTGCAAATACAGATATGCAGAATACAGGCCTGCGAATACACACTGATTTGAGGCTGGAGCAACGTTTCGAATGTAAAACAAACCCAAATATAAGGAAGAAAAATTTACAATCCATCAAAGCACGGGACTTGGAATAAACAACACTTCCGACTATTAGTAAGAACCTGCTTGACACCATCGAGTTCACCCGCAAGGGAACTTTCTTGGTCCCTCCTGTCCACCACGACCATGCTTCTCTTTGGTGAGACGCGCACGCTGTTTGTTCTTCTATACATAGGTACCTACCTAGGCGCCACCGGCGCGATTGATTTGCTCTAGGTTAAAATGAACACTCCTCAACCTCACCTCAGGCCGTGAAGTGGTGATTACACGACGACAGTGGCAATTCTCTAATCTGGCTGCGCTTGCGGCCTCAATCTCCGAACGCCTCGTGCGATCCAGCTGTGCTTCTCTGCTTTGTCCAATTGAACAACCAATCCTCCAAAAGAATCACCAGAAACCTTCCCGTGAAACCTATGGCATATTGCCAAATTTTCTTTGGGAATATTGTATGGCCGCTCAAGGCTGAGCGCGACCCGAGTCCGACCACCCCCTCCGCTAACCGGGCTAAAACGTAGGGACTCCGTCAATCTGTTCGCGTGTGTAATCGAAGTGTCTCGCCTTATACTAGGTCATGATGACTTCGTGCTTCTGAATCAAGAAGATGACTGGATGATATTGACAGGGAATCAAATTACCGTTGTCGGGCCGGAGCCACGTGCGCGGACGCATGGCAGGTACGATCGCGTGTAGTTGGCGGGCAGTTGACGTCGCCCCAACAGTACTGAGGGTACGACACGGTACTTTCTTTCTAAAAACATTGGCTACATATATATGAGCTCTCCATTATTCTGTAAAAGAGTGTCTTAAACAGTGTTGTAAGCGGGACGAAATAGGTATCTGAGGCGGGCATGGCAGGGCGTGTGTAGGGTCCGATATTGGCAGAGGTGAAAGCGACCACGCCCTCGGCCTGGTGTGCAACAACTGTTGATCAAGTATCTTTGTATAGATGAAGGTGTGATTAAGAGTCGTAGCTCCATCAAAGTCTTGCCTTTGCTTTTACTACGTCGCCGTTGACACAGTCTCGGAGGCCCAGGCTGGCGAGAGACGGTTCACCCTCGGGTTCTCGCAGATGTTGTCCACACGAAAATTTCAGATAGTGTTGAGAAAAGTCACTCACAGGCTATCATTCTCGATTGTTATTGCTTCTATTGTGAGCTTCGGGATTAGGTGCAGGAGAAGAGCTTCCGATATACTTTTGGTTCAGGAGTGAGCTGGCTCGTACGGGACACAATTGCGCCAGACCGACCTCTCCCGGCTGATGGTTAAGACTTTGCCCGAGAAGTTCGTCGCAGTTGAGGAAACGTACTTTCAGGGCGGAATAAAATAGAATTCACCAATCAGCTATCATTTCGACATCAAATATATCTCTACAGTGATTGTTCTGGTGAAATGCGTATAAGTGAAAGTTCGGCATGTCGTTGTGCTGACGGACCGTACCTTCAACCCGAGTCGAAGGTACTGCAAGGCTCCAACCCGGTATTTCACCAGCACCACATGGACCCGATGGTGACTTCTAGAGAATAGCCGGTAGAAAAGGACTGAATAATCTATATCCCAGGCTATGTGTTGTTGGCTGTCAAAGGACAGTATGTATGGGATGGTGGGCGGCTGGCGCAATGTCAGTATGGGCCACGCATTGCAGAACCCCAGCAAATCAAACACATTCCTTTCACATGACTTTCCCATCAAGGGAGAGCTGGTATATATTCTTCCAAGCCTGCTCCGTAGCTTACCACTGCTGTATCTTCGCGCTTCGGGGACATGTTAAAGCGGCTCACGCCTGATACTCATCTTACCACGAAGACTCGTTCAGACTGCCTTGTTGCTCCGCCGACGTCGTACTGCACATGCTTATCGACTATCAGAAGCTCCTAATCAGATAAGACCCGCTCTAGCGCGCCTATTGGCTCAGCCCTCAAGGTGGAGCCGCGGTATCTCCAAGCTTGCCGCACCAATGAGATATAGACCAATTTCTCATTCTCCACGACATGAAACATTCCAAATGGGGCGCTGGCGCAACGGTAGCGTGTGAGATTCCAGTTAAAGGCTGAAGTTAAGAAGATTTCAGAAGCTCTGTTCGAGCGTGCCTAGGACCCTCCTCAAGGTTTTCGGTTCAAATCCGGAGTGCCTCATTTACTTTTTGGAATTTTTTTGGAATTCTCTTATTAAGAAATGGGAATTATATGGGATGACTTGCCTCTCACTTTGAAGTGGTCTGGTGAGGTGGGCTTCACTGTGTACTTGGCAATGGGCGTGCTGCTGCTGCATTACCTAATGCCTGGTGCTCAGTAGTATTATTCCTCCCTCCTTCGTGACTTCCTCTCGCTGACTCTACTCAGGCAACGACAATAACAATTCTTAATTTTTGATTCTTCCCCCCACTTTCTTCCCAACACAACACACAATCGAAAGTGCATCCATCCATCATTCCTCTCCACAGATTCGAATTTGTTGTGCGAGACACACGACTTGTTGTCGCGTGTGCTCGTTTCTCGTCGAAAGACGCTGTGGCAGTAGCAACCGAGGACACGAGTACCTTGTTTACCGTTCTGCCCTTGCGGCAGAACTCAGCGGAGAACACAGAATCAACACCAATGAACCCAATGCCGAACACCCTTTGTACGTACGTACTATGCCCTACCAAAAGACGCAGATGATCTTTAAGCACGTCCTTCCCCTTCCCCTTTCCCTTCCCCTTTCCCTGAACCATCTAGACGTCAACTTCGATCGCCTCCATGGTTCATGTATTTTCTGAGTGTTCTGGGAGGGTGCAAGAGCTGACAACTCTTTATAGAAAATGATGTCCGAGTTCGACAACGACAACGACGTCGTCGATGCGGTCGCCGCTGGCCGCCAGCGCCTGGTTAGTATTTTCAACTCCCGAGTGTCAGCACAATAGCAAATACTAAACTGCTTATAGCAAGATAGAAAATGAAGTCCGAGTTCGAGTCCGACGACGACGCCTTCGACGCGGTCGCCGCTGGCCGCCAGTGCCAGGTTAGTATTCCCAAATCCCGAGTATCAGCACAGTAGCAAATACTAAACTGCTTGTAGCGAGACGAGGAAGACGAGGACTACCGCCTCGTAGTATGTTACGCACGGCTGTTCTGGCTCCTACCTAGGTAGATACTAACGATATGCTTTTCAACTATACAGCACCCCCAGCGCCGCGCCCTCCTGCAGCGCTACCGTTCTGCTGCGCCCGCTTCGCCGGCCGGTCCCCGCCCCGGTCCTTCCTCGGTCGCCGCCGCCCCCACGGCTTCCACCACCGCTGCCGCCGGTCTCGCTCCCGTTGTATGTTGCCCACGACTGTGCTAATTCCTAGATACTAACGATATGCTTTTCCTCTATACAGCACCCCCAGCGCCGCACTTCCCAGGATATACCGAGGGTATCGAAAGGTAGCCCGAGATGCAGCGTTGGTTCATGACCTGGACCATGATGGAAAATTTTGCAATTGTATTCACAGGGTTCAACATTGGGTGGAGTAGCTGGGCTACTGGGTCAAGTGGGCATCACCGAAATTCATGTATTAAGTAGAAGCAATTAAGACCATGATAACACCTCCCAAAAATGCGCCCCCCCCCCCCCCTACCAAAGCCCAAACCACGACTTGTTCAGGCCCAGGACGGCCCTGGCCTCCTCCTTGGCCTTCTCCTCAGCCTTCTTCTCCAGCTCTTGAGCCCTCTCGTCGGACTCGACGGCGGGATTTTTGGCCGCGCGGGCCCGGGCGATCATCTCATCGACGACGGCAGCGTCGTCGTCGGCCTGGGTGCGCGCCGCGACGGCGGCAGCCAGGAGCGAGGCCGCGGTCTCCGGGACGGGAGCGGGAGCGGGAGCGGCGGAGGTGGTGGCAGCCGGGAGGACGGCGGCCGCCGAGGGAGAACCGGAGCGAGGGGCGACCGGCACGAGGTTGGCACCCGAAGCGGGCGCAGCAACACGGTAGCGCTTGGTGCGGCGCTGTGCGTGCTATATCGTTGAAAAAAATAAAAATCGTTAGTATCTAGGTACTTTGAAGAGTGGAAACGAAGAGAGCTTGGCCGGAAATAATGGTAGGTAAGCTTTAGTGAGGACGGATAAGAGATGTGTCAAGCTCAATGGGCAGGGGAGGTAAGTGCTGTCTGCATATAGTGAACGGACACGCCCAAGATGTGTGACTCGTGTGGGAGTGTGGGAGCGTGGGAGTGTCGAGAATAGGGAACAAGGCAGTCGTGGGTAACATACATCGAGGTCTTGAGCCTCATCTCGCTACAGGCAGGTTAGCATGTGCTATTCATTGTGCTAATACTCAGGACTTGGAATAAGGTACTAACCTGGCGCTTCCGGCCAGCGGCGACCGCGTCAGAGACGTCGTTGGCGGCGTTCATTTTCTATATATAGTTTGTCAGCCATTGGACTTCCCAGAATGCTCAGCAAATTGATTTCGATGAAATTGGATTGCCACGTGTTTGAGAATAGAAAATGTGCGATCCAGAAGGATCAGGGAAAGTGAAAGGACGAGCTCGAAGATCGGACGCGTCTTGTCGACAACGACCACACGCGACATCAACTCGTGTGTCTCGCACAATTGATTTCAACGTCTGAAAAGGAATGTTGGATGCACTTACGATTGTGGGTTGGGTTTGGAAAAAAATTGGGAAAACAAAAACTGAATTTGAGCTTTTGATTTTGATGTTCCCTGAAGAGAGTAAACTGTCACCCGCGAGCGAAATTCCCACGGGGGGGATATATATACTACTGAGCATCATCAGGTCTTGCCTAATACAGCAGCACCACACCAATTCCCCTCTCAAAATCAGAGATCTCTGCCCTTGCTCTCAATTTATACGTCTAGACGACCGAATTTAATTAACTGCAGAATAAGCTATGGACTTCGATCATATCCTCTGTGTAAATCATAGATCCCAACGTGATTGACATACCCAGGCACTGGAACTGTACACAAGAAATGCCGCTGCCCACAGGTCCCTCCCCCCCCTCATGCCAACACAGACCTACGTGTAGAACGTGCTCTTCTCCTGAGTTCTCTCTGATGTGCATGTGCTCGTTATCCGTCGGTGGGGAACCTTATAGCATCATGACCAGAACCCTCTGATGTTATCAATACTGGCTTCAACAGATTTGACTCTTTCTCGCCGCACAAAAAATTGAAGTCCACTTCACCAGGCCAGCTCGAATTGACAGCCAGGTTCATCTTCCAAATCTCAAAAGACCATGCGTGCATCATACGTCCTGGTCCGAGGCACGACTACTAGGGACCAAGCCTCCTACCATCTATCCAATCGTGATAATGAGGTCACAAAGAGCCAATTGGCTGAGGACTCCAGATTTTGAAGCGGAAGGAAGGTACCTTGCCATGGCGGAACTGTGCTTTGGTCCTCCCGTTTGGGAAGGAAGGCACAGTCTGCTCGCACCCACAGACGTAGACGTCGCGACGGGGAAGGAAAGAGCGACACATGACCACTCGTGACATTTTCCCACCAGAAGCTGCGAAGATGATGTCGAAGCTGTTCAAGACTCTCTTCTGGTCAACCAACACCTCGACACAGCCCATGTTCCTGTGATGCTCTAAGCAAAATCTTCGACTCTGATCTCAAAACTGTCCCTATTTTCCCAAATTCTACTTCGTACCTTCTGATCAAGATGGCACCACTTACAAAGGCTCATGGAGCAGCTCAATCTTCTGGTACCAAATCTGGTGCTAGTATGAAGAGATTGTTGTCTGAGGAGTTAGCTTTTCCGGTCTCCAAGAGAGCCAAAGTATTCGGTGATGTGAGTCCGATTTCCAATAACCTTCACATGCTACGTCTAATATTGAATCAGAGCGAGTTTGCGGGTGTGGCCGGTGCCGAGACTGACCGGCACACTGAGTCTGAGAGTGCCGACGACGAGGGTGATGACGACGACGACGACGACGACGACGACGACGATGAGGACGACAATGACGACGACAACGACGACGACAACGAGGAAGAGAACGAGGACGAGGACGAGGACGACGGTAATGACGAGGGCGACGAGGACGACGATGATGATGACGACGACGACAACGACAACGACGAGGGCGATGAGCGCGATGGGGCTGAAGAGGAGCTTGATATCTCTGAGTCCTCACTGCCAGTCACTCTCAGCAGTCCCACCGACCAGGCTCGAAGGGTCCTCTCAGGTGTGGGCCTTGAGAGTTTCGCCCATCTGGAGACCTACGAGCTTTTCCTCCAGATCGGTATGCTGTCCGACGACAGCCAGGAAGCTCTTCGCAAATTCCGCCATCAAATACAAGATGGCATCCAAAATGGCTCGCTAACCCAAGCGAGCGTGCCCATTGACGCTTGGATGCAAAAGACGACGCCTGCATGGGACAGTCACTGTCAACACGTCGATGATCTTTGGGTCGAGCTTGTGGCGGATGTTGTAACATTGTCGTTTGGCCATATCAGCATGAAGGATCTCGTCAAGCCTACCGGAACTCTCTTTGCGCCTCTGTCCGCAGTGTTCCACTATCCCACATTCCGGACGACGCACCCTGCATATGGACACGTTCAGGACAGGACGAATCCGTGTCTTCGGATTCACGAAGAGAAGTTCGGGCTCAACGGATTCGTCCGCACCCAGGACCGAATTCCGCTCAGGCATGATTTCGTGTCCGAGAAATCCGGCGGCATCAAGTGGGCAGAACAATACCCCAACTGGGACAAGATTGAGGCACGCTTTGCGAGATTCATTCGCGAGTTGAACAGCCACTCCAGAGTCATTGTCTTCGTCGGTGAAAAGAATGTCCTGGGGTGGCGGAATGATGTCCACCTCGAAGCAGGAGACCGCATACAGCAAGTGCAATTTCGCCATTCTGTCGGTCCAGACGACTGCGAAATTAGAGTCCCTAAGCATGTCTTCAACCAGACCACTGCTTTCTACATGGTCAAGAGCTTTTCGGGTGAGGTCAAGAAATTGATCTTTCTTGTTTATCACCCCCATCATCTTCTCCACACCAGCAATTATGAGCGAGGAGCGTACACAGACATGGTGTGGAACGCCGCAGCCTCCTTTGCCTGTCAGACTGTGGCCAGGCATGATGCCTACATTCGCTACACAGGTGTGAAAGCATCCACAGGCAAGAAGGCCAATCCAAGGAGGG